AAGTAAGAAGAAAAAGATGTACAGTTATTCTTTTGTGTTATAATGGTTTCTATTGTGGCTCATGAGTGTCATAACTGAATTTTTTCTACCTAGAACCTACTCTAAGAACATAATTTTAGTTGTCATACTCATCAGAGATTGCACACAACTATTGACAGGTGTATTTTGGTTGTTCATAACTGATATTTAGTCAACCTCAAAGTAGTAACGTGTTTCCAAGGGACAAACTATTGTAGAATTGGACTTCCTTGGACTCCTACTCCAGACCAATTTGCTTAGCTTTGTGGCTTAGCTTTTGTATCTATGATGCTTGGAGCCCTTCTTTTGTCTAAAGTATGTATTTAGAATCTATGTATTTTTGTTATACTTTAATCTCTTTGAATATGTACATGGACTCTGGATGCTGCTCCCACTATGTCAGCCTCAGATGGAGATGGAGGGTGGTGAGAAGCCATCTTTGAAAACAAATCCACTACCGTATTCATTGAGAAGTTGCAGAAAAGGATGAATTGATGAGGGTCTGTAAATGTCCTGTATTATGCAATTTCTAATATTGATTTCTTCTTTCCCTTTACTCTCTCTTTGTAATGTTAGTTCCTTTTTTAAGAAATCCTTTGTAGCTGGGTGGGGTGATGCACACCTGTGATCCCAGCAACTTGGGAGGCTGAGGTAGGAGGAACATTTGAGCCCAGGAGTTTGAGGCTGCAGTGTGCAGTGATCACACCACTGCATTCCAGCCTGGGTGACAGAGCGAGACACCATCTCAACAAAAAGAAGAAAAAAAGTGTTTTGTGTTTCTTTCCGGAATGCAATAAATAATTCATATTTACCATACTTTCTAAATATGATCCCTAATGTAATTGCTGGTTAAAATATATTCTCAGGTTTCCCATAACTCCTGGGATTCTAGACTATAGAGACAGTAAGATGATGAGAATTTAGAGAAAAAAGTCTGACTTTGTTTAGATTCATCTTTATGTCCTCAGTTTCTTGACTTAAGGGAGGGAAAGAGAAGAGTTTGCACATTCATAAAAATTGAAAGCAAGTCTCAGCTTGATTGAGTCTCATTGCTTCCTGGTAGGTAAAGATATTCTACTGTTTGTATTGGATTGTAGTTGTAAACTGAGGGAAGAAGAAAGCTGTTACCATCACTATTCAAGGTAAGTAGTTTCTGATTTGCCTTATTTGTTCATCGAGGGCTTTTTTGGCCTTCTTAAAAGAACTGTTAGATAGAATAGTAAGGAGTGTGTGAATGGAGGAAAGAGGCCCAATGGGAGACTGTAGCTTCATGAATTGAAAACCTCAGTCATCCTCTGAATGATTGTTACGGATGTCAGTCTGAATACTAGCACCAGGCAAGCTGAATTCCCACGTTGTTACATATTCTTCTTCAGTAATTCTCTGATTGTGCTTCCCTTTTGATTCAAATTTGTAAGCTTTGATATGCAGGAAACAGATGGGGGGCAAGGGGATGCAAGAAGAGGAGACAAATAAATTGGTTCTCAAAGGAAAGGATAAAAAAGTACATAGTTTCAATAGAATACACTGGAAAATAATAGCTAACACTTATATGTAACCTTTACTATGTACCAGGAATTATTTTAAGCATTTACATATGTTAGCTCACTTAATCTTTACAAAACCCTGATTTAGGTACCCACTTATTATAATACTCATTTGACAGAAAACAGGATTGAAACCCAGATTAAGTAACTTGATCAGGGTCGTATATCTAGTTAGTGGTAGAGTCTAATTTGAAGCAAGGAGGTACACTCTAGAGTTTATACTCTTCTCTTTTTTTTTGAGACATAGTCTCACTCTGTTGTCTAGGCTGGAGTGCAGTGGCATGATCTTGGCTCACTGCAGTCTCCGCCTCCCAGGTTCAAGGATTCCCTGCCTCAACCTTCTGAGTAGCTGGGATTACAGGTACCCACCATCACGCCTGGCTAATTTTTTTTTTTTTTTTGAGACGGAGTCTTGCTGTGTCACCCAGGCTGGAGTGCAGTGGCGTGATCTCGGCTCACTGCAAGCTCAGTCTCCCAGGTTCATGCTATTTTCCTACCTCGCCTCCCCAGTTTTTGGTAGAGACAGGGTTTCATTGTGTTAACCAGGATGGTCTCGATCTCCTGACCTCGTGATCTGCCCGTGTCGGCTTCCCAAAGTGCTGGGATTACAGGCGTGAGCCACCGCACCCAGCAATTTTTGTGTTTTTATTAGAGACAGGGTTTCACTATGTTGCCCAGACTGGTCTCCAACTCCTGGTCTCAAGTGATCCACCTGCCTCGGCCTCCCAAAGTGCTGGGATTACAGGCGTGAGCCACCGTGTCTGTCCCTAGAGTACATACTTTTTTAACTTTTGACCATTTTGGTCAATTTTGATTATAACTCAAAAGTTAATAGTTTATTATTATTATTATTTTTTGAGACAGAGTCTGGCTCTGTCACCCAGGCTGGAGTGCAGTGGTATGATCTTGGCTCACTGCAACCTCTGCCTTCCAGGTTCAAGGATTCTCCTGTCTCAGCCTCCCGAGAAGAGTAGCTGAGAATACAGGTGCCCACCACCACGCCTGGCTAATTTTTGTATTTTTAGTATAGACGGGGTTTCACCATATTGGCCAGGCTGGTCTGGAACTTCTGACCTCAAGTGATCCTCCCACCTCAGTCTCCCAAAGTGCTGGGATTATAGGCGTGAGCCACTGCACCCGGCCTATTTTTTAAATAAATACAAAGCTTTGCTATGTTGCCCAGGCTGTTCTCAAACGTTTGGACTCAAGCGATCCATTTACCTCAGCCTCCCAAAGTGCTGGGATTAAAAGGATTGAGCCACAGTACCCACCCACTTCCTTTACCTTTACAAATTTCTGGATATTCTTGTTTCCTACCAATTCATTATTTAACCACTACATTAACTCCCACAGTGACCTCCCCTCCCCTCCTCTCCCCTCCTTTCCTCCCTCCCT